CTCCCTGCTCCTCTCTCTCTCTCTCTCCCCTCTTCTCCTTCTCCTCTCTTCTCCTCTCTCTCTCTCTCTCTCTCCTTTCTCTCTCTCTCTCTTTCTCTCTCTCTCTCTCTCTCTCTCTCTCTCTCTCTCTCTCTCTCTCTCTCTCTCTCTCTTCTCTCTCTCTCTCTCTCTCTTCACTCTCACCTCTCTCTTTCTCTCTCTCTCCATCACTCTCTCATCTCCTCTCCATCTATTCTCATCTCGTCTCTTCTTCCTCATCTCTATCTCTTCCACTCACGCTCCCACGCATCTCCTCATCCCTGACTCCGTCCGGACTGTTACACAATGATCCCTCGTCCCTCTCTCTCTCCTCTCTTACTCACCCTCTCTCTCTCCTCTCTCGCTATCATCTCTTTCTCCTTTCCCCTCCCCCTCTTTCTCTCTCCTCGGCCCTTTGTTCTCCTCTTTCCCTAATGCACCTACTCACTCCCTCCCTCTCTCGCTCTCCCCTTCCTTTTTTCCTCCCCCCCTTTCCCCGCCCCCTATCCCTCCTTATTCTCTGCCCATCCCTTCCTTCACTTCCCTATCTCTCCTTTGTCTCTCCTCTCCCTTTATATAGGCCCACCCCCCTATGTACATCGTTTTCCATACCATAACTAGCCCGCCCCCACCCACACCCTAAACACCCACCCCACACCCCCGTCTAATCACTCTCCTCTCCCGCCCTCTCTCCTCATTCCGTCTCACACACACTCACACATGTCCCTTTTCTCTCTTCTCCTCATCTCTCTCTCTCTCATCCTCATCCTCTCTCTCCTCTCTCACTCTCTCTCTCTCTTCTCTCTACTCCTCTCTCTCTCTCTCTCTCTTCAATCTCCTTCTCTCCCTCCCTCTCCTCTCTCTCACTCTCCTCTATCTCTCCGCGCTTTCTCCTCTCTCCTCCTCCTTCGTCCCTTCTCTACTCCTCTCTTTCCCTCCCCTCTCTCCTCTTGCCCCCCACCCGTCTATCACTCTCATCTTCCCCCCCTCTCCTCACTTGTCCCCCTTCCTCTCTTCATCCTCTACTCTCTTCTCTCTCTCTATCTCTCTCCTCTCTCTCTCCTTCTCCGTCCCCTCTCCTCCTCTCCTCCTCAATCTACTCTCCTCTCACTCTCTCTCTCTTATTCCTCTCTCTCTCACCTTTCGCTAGTTCTCTCTCTCTCTCTCCCTCTCTCCTCTCTCTTTCCCCCCCTCTTCTCTTGGCCCCACCCCACCCCCCTCCGTCTATCACCCTACTCATTCTCTTCCCCCCCACATCACAACTTGTCCCCTCCCCCGCCCTTCTTCCGTCTCTCTCCATCTCTCTCATCTCATTTCTCTCTCTTCTTCTCTTTCTCGTCTCTCTCTTCTCTCCCCTCCTATCTCTCTCTTATCTCCCCCCCCTCCTCTCCTCCCCTCTCCTTGCCTCTATTCCCTCTCACTCTGAGCTGCACCAATGTCAATAAGTGACAGACAGATATACTACCGTTTGTTCCTCCAACATGATGCCAGCCATCGGACGCAGATGATTTCGTGTTAAGGGACTCATGACATAGGACGACTTACCGCAATCACTGAAGGATGCGGGAGTATTCTAAATTTTAAAGCAAGAATTAAGGCAATACATTTTAAGTAAGTCTGGTCTTAAATCTTTTTTTTTTTTACCTCTTTTTTTATTCAATTCGATAACGTAACTAGTCACAACATGTTATGTTTCTGTCATAAAAGTTTTAAACATTTGTTTTCTGTATGCATGTTTCTATAGGTTATAATTCGAATGTTTATTATTCTATTGATTTTATGTTTTGTTGCAAATTTGCTATTATTTTACCGCTCACATAAGCGATGTTCTTATGATCTAACTCAAACATCGGAAAATTTAAATGCATGAGATTTCTATGGAAACCGTAATGTAATAACCATTTTCATAATAAGATTCTTGAATTTGATTTCCCTCTCCCTCTCTTTCTCTCTCTCTCTCTCTCTCTCTCATCCTCTCTCTCTCTCTCTCCTCTCTCTCTCTCTCATGTGATTTCTATGGAAATCGCAATGTAATAACCATTTTAATGGGATTCTTTAATTTGGATTTGACCCCCCCCCTCTTCTCTCTCTCTCTCTCTCCCTCTCTCTCTCTCTCTTTCTCCCTCCTCCCTCCCTCTCTCTCTCTCCCTTCCTCTCCCCCCCCTCTCTCTCTCTCTCCTCTCTCTCTCTCTCTCTCTCTCTCTCCTCTCTCTCTCTTCCTCTCTCTCTCTCCTCTCTCTCTCTCCTCTATCTCTCTCTCTCTCTCTCTCCTCTCTTCCTCTCTTCTCCCTCTCTCTTCTCTCTCTCTCTCTCTCTCTCTCTCTCTCCTCTCTCTCTCTCTCTCCCTTCTCTCCTCTCTCTCTCTCTCTTTCCTCTCTTCTTCTCTCTCCTCCTCTCTCCTCTCTCTCTCTCCTCCTCTCTCTCTCTCTCTCTCTCTCTCTCTCTCTCTCTCTCTCTCTCTCTCTCTCTCTCTCTCTCTCTCTCTCTCTCTCTATCTCTCTCTCTCTCTCTCTCTCTCTCTCTCTCTCTTCTCTCTTCTCTCTCTCTCTCTCTCTCTCTCTCTTTCTCTCTCTCTCTCTCTCTCTCTCCTCTCTCTCTCTCTTCTCTCTTCCTCTCCTCTCCTCTTCCTCTCTCTCTCTCCTCTCTCTCCTCTCTCTCTCTCTCTCATCTCCTCCTCTCTCTCTCTCTCCTCTTTCTCTCTCTCTCTCTCTCTCTCTCTCTCTCTCTCTCTCTCTCTCTTCTCTCCTCTCTCTCTCTCTCTCCTCTCTCTCTCTCTCTCTCTCTATTCATCTTTCTATCCATTTTTATCGGTGCGTATGTGCGTGTCTCTACGTGGAAGGCCACGCATATCTCCATCTTCTCAAAACCCGCTCATGCGTGACAAACATAGACAATTCGATAGTTTTACGAAGAGGAATGCCAAAAAAAAACCACAACGATGCATTCATGATTACAGGTTTGGTTCGTGATATTTTGTTCATGATATTCACTCTTGGATCTTCTCTCGCCAGCTGGAGATGTCATGCATACATGTTTTACGTCTTCGAACAACGTGTAAGGAGATTTTTTTTTCTTCTTCCAACGGGGAATAGAAAATGTATAAAATCATGCAAATATCAGACCATAATGATTTTCCCCTTTTTTTGCAACCTGACCCGAAAATGTTTGAGTGTGAAGGTTGGAAGAGAAGACAGAGAAGAAGGGGAAGAAGGAGGAGGATAAATTGAAAGAGAAGAGAGAGAGGGCGAGAGGAAGAGAGAGAGAGAGAGAGAGAGAGAGAGAGAGAATTAGTGAGCGGGAAAGAGAGAGGGAGAGTGAGAGAGATGAGAAGAGAAGAGAAGTAGAGAGAGAGAGAGCGAAATTAGTGAGCGGATAGAGAGAGGGAGAGTGAGAGAGATTAGAAGAGAAGAGAAGTAAGAGAGAGAGAGAGAGAGAGAGCACGTGTATGTGTGTGTAGTAGTACAAAAAATCCAGTGAATATCTTTACGGATAAAGACACAACAGAAGCTAAAGGAATCCATTTTCGCGGAATTGTCCAAATGAATTATATCAGGATTTTTTCTTTGCTCGGAAGATGTCATGTTATTTGCTCTTCTTCTTTCACGCCCGACGCCGGTCACGGACACGCCCATGTATCGCACTCAGCTGAAGCTAAAAAGCCTTTCTTGTCTGATTCTGAGTGTCTATATATATAAATATACATATACATATATAAATACATATAATATATACATATACACACACACACATACACACACAAAAAAAAGAAAAGAAAAGAAAAGAAAAAAATATATATATTATATATATAAATATATATATATATATATATATATATATATATATATATATATATATATAACATATACATATATATATATATATATATATATATATATATATATATATATATATATATATATATATATATATATATATATATATGTATGTATGTATGTATTTTACATATATATGTCGAGATCGATATTGGTTCGACATTCTAAAAATGCGGTGTTTATAATTGAAAAGACGTACAGATCCTACTACAAATGTTTATATACTTTTTGAGGCATATTAATATAGCAAAATTTAGTAAAATAGTTCGTTTGTTTAGATTTTAACAATTCAATGAGAGGAAAGTAATAATCCTCCAAATCGTAGCACACTATCCCTCAGAACTTGGCCTCTCGCATCCCACTAGCTTTGTGCAAACGTTATCCCAATTTCCAAAGCAGGTGACCGGACCGACCCATCCAATTGTCGCCCCATCTCTCTCACGCCCCATCTCTCTCACCACCACCTCTGAAATCTTCGAGCACATCATACACAAGCGTAACGAAGAACAAGCAACATATTCGTCGACACAACACGAATTCCGACCCAAACAGTCATGTGAATCCCAGCTCACTGTCACTCATCACGACATGTCTAGATTATTGGACAGACGTGACCTGAAACAGATCGACGCTGTTACATTGTACTTTGCCAAAGCCTTTGACAAAGTCCTAAAAAAAAGCTAAGAAACTACAGTTTTGCGGAATCACTGGATCAACTCTTCACTGGATCACAGCTTTTCTTTCTAACTGGACCCAACGCGTTCTTCTTGACGGAATTGTATCTCTTCTGGTGTCCCCCAGGGCATCGTCTTAGGTCCACTCCTTTTCTTACTCTATATAAATGATCTCCCATAAAAGTCTACAACTAGACTTTGCTGACGACAGCCTCACCTATCGACCAATGAAGATCCCTGACGGCTGCAAACTCCTCCAGACTGACCATGGCAACCTT